AAGGTACAGAAAGCCCCAGGAGGTTCCAGGATGCCCCCAGGAGGTTCGGAGGCAGTGTCTGGGGTACCAGGTACGTCGGGGCTCGATTTTGGGAGGATGTCTCAGGCGAAACCGCCATTCTCTGAGAATCGGGGTGTGAGGGGTGCCACCGATTTTCAGAATTTCGAGGACGTCCCTAGCGAAACGGCCAGACAAATCGCGAACGACGCGGCGCGTACGCATTAATCGCCTCTGAGCTCTACTCTCTCGGAGAGGTGCGTATATATATATATATATATATATATATATATATATATATGTATATGTATCAGAGTGAGGTGGCCGAGCGGCCATTCATTGTCCCTGGGCGCGTGGCTGAAGATGGCTTCACGGTGCGGCTTGTTGTTGCGTTTCTGCGTTATTGAATTTGCAGTTCGGAAGAAAATTATGGTTGATCCTCCCTGCCCAGTGCCCATTGTTGTTTTATCAAACGGGCTCTTCTTGGGGCTGGCACCTTGTATTTTACACGGGGAAGTATTGCGCCTCAGATTGTGTTGTTCCCCATATCCTAAGATGGGATTATTGTTATTATTTGGACTCCTTCTTCTCATCCTCATCCTCCTCATACCTGGACTTACTCATACACAGATGCACTCATACACAGACTTCCTCACACTCAGACCTGATCATATCAACTTGTTCATACTCAGACCTACTCATACTCAGACCTACTCATACTCAGACTTACTCATGCTGAGACCCACTCACACCCAGACTTGCTCATACTCAGACCTTATCATTGTCTGACCTACTGAACACACAGCAGATTGTGAGGATGTCTCAGGCGGGGCGCTAGTTTCAGCACCCCTAAGGGGAGGCGCCGAGGGGTATTGCACGGTCCCGTTCGCGGCCGTTTTGTGGGGAAGTTCCAAGCGGTTTGCTTGTTTTCTGTTCCAGCATCTTTCGCTTTCGGAGCAGATTTGGAGGATGTCTCGAGCGAGGCGCTCATTTTCACCCCCCTAAGGGGAGCCGCCGATGGGGTGTTACACGGTCCCGTTCGCGGCGGTTTTGTGGAGATGCTTGAAGCTGTTTGCTTGTTTCTGTCCCAACATCTTTCGCTGTCGGAGCAGATTTGGAGGATGTCTCGAGCGAGGCGCTCATTTTCACCTCCCTAAGGGGAGCCGCCGAGGGGTATTGCACGGTCTCGTTCGCGGCCGTTGTGTGGGGATGTCTCAAACTGTTTGCTTGTTTCTGTCCCAACATCTTTCGTTTTCGGAACAGATTTGGAGGATGTCTCGAGCGAGGCGCTCATTTTAACCCCCCAGGTGGGCCAGATGTTGAGGATGTCTCGATCGGTTTGCTTATTTTGGTGGCCAGACTCGTGGGCACAGATTCTCCCCAGGATGCCACAGGAGGCTCCAACAGGCTCCAGGAGGCCCCAGGAGACCACATGAGGTCCCAGGAGGCATCGGTAGGCTACAGACAGACTCAAGAGGCTACAGGATGTCCCAAGAGGCTCCAGGAGGCCCCAGGAAGCTCCAGGAGGCCTCAGGGAGCCACAGGAGGCCCCAGGAGGCGACAAGAAGCGCCAGGAGGCCTCGGAAGGCAACAGGAGGCCCCGAGGCCCCAGGAGCAGGAGGCCTCAGAAGGCAACAGGAGAGGGCTCCAATCCCATGTGTTTTACGTATGCTCCTATACATTGGGCCTCACCTGGAACACGAATCTTTGATGTTATACGTATGTTCCTATAGATTGTCCTTCTCCTGTGTACACAATCCTGAATGTTTTACGTATGCTCCTGTGTATTGGGCCGCTCTTAGGGGCCCGAGTCCTTGGTGTTTTACGTGTGTTCCTATTGATTGCCCTTCTCCTGTTGCTCCAATCCGCAATGTTTTATGTACGTCTGTTGCTATAGATTGGGCCTCTCCTGGGGCACGAATCCTGTCCAGGAGGCCCCAAGAGGCTCCTGGAGGCCCCAGGAAGCCCCAGTAACTTTCAGGAGGCCCCAGGGGGCCCCAGGCTCAAGCGCTGAGACGCGCTCGTACTACTGAGGCTCATCCGCGGTTAGATTCATGACCAGACCGTCACAACTGAAGCCCGTTTAGATTCGAAAGCTCTTGCGCCCACGGCGGACAGGTCCATGCGAATAGATGCACATATCGGGAGCTCCACGCAGTGAATAATTTGCTCCCGGTTTACCACAACAGCGATTCCCGCCTGATACACCCTCATAGCTTATCCAAGTGGCTCGCGCCATTTCGCTGACCCTCGGCGGAGTAAAGAAGTCCATGGCGTTCGGTAGGCAGTGCTGGAGTTGGAGGGACTAGGTGTTTTATCACGCTCGCGAGGGTTCAACTTTCAGGGGCCTCTTAGATGGCTTGTTGGATGCATCCGGTTGGCTGTTTTGGGCCTCTTGGGGGCCTTTTGGGAGCCTCTTGGGGGCCCCTTGGAGGCCTCTTGTGGGCCTCTTGGGGGCGCCTCGCGGGTCTCTGGGGTTCTTTGGATGGCTCGAGATGTCAGCTCGTATTTAGGGACTGCGCCAACTACACGTGGCAGGTAAGGAAGATATACCCCCAAGGGAGGCACGATCGATGACGAAGAGTGCAGGTATCGAGGGTTAGGTATGTATGTATGTATGTATGTATGTATGTATGTATGTATGTATGTATGTATATATGTATATATGTGTGTGTGTGGTTGAATGGCACGCGAGCATGACATCGAACAGTCTTACAATGACTGCTGATGTTGTCGTCGTCCTCGCCTCCAAACCGCCCGCGACCCACCTGCGACCCACCCCGCGACCCACCCCATGACCCACTCCGCGACCCACCCGCGATCCATCCGTGACCCAGCCCGCACCCGCCCGCTCGCTCGTTCGCCGCAATTGCGGGGTGCTACGTATACACACATATATGTGTGTATAGGTTTCGTGTCGCTCTCGGATATCCGCGATGTTGAGATTTGAAAGAGCGTGTTCTACCGCTGCTGGCGAAAAACTGGGGGTGGTCACTGGGGGTTCCCAACCCGTCCCCCCCACCCCTTCGAACACCGGGGGACCTGTTCGAACCCCCCCCCTCCCCCCCTCCTGTCCATCAGGAAAAGGGGAGGGGTCACTACCGGTTCGAACCCCCCACCCCTCGCTGCTGGCAAACGATTTCCACTCCTCGGGACAGTGGGACAGTGGTGGGGACACTGGGACAGTGGTGATGACAGTGGTGGTGTGGACAGTGGTGTGGGGACACTGGGACAGTGCTGGGGACAGTGGGACACTTGTGGGGAGGTTGGTGGGGTGGTGGGGACAGTGGTGTGGGGACCGCGGGACAGTAGTGGTGGGGACAGGGGGGACAGTGGGGACAGTGGGACAGCGGTGGGGACGGTAGTGGTGGGGACAGTGGTGAAGGCGGTGGTGAGGACGGTGGTGGGACAGTGGTACAGTGGGGAGAGTGGTGGGGACAGTGGAGACAGTGGGCCAGTGGTGGGGACAGTGGGGACAGTGGGTCAGCCTTGTTGGACAGCGGCGGGGACAGTGGGGACAGTGGGACAGTGGTGGGAACAGTGGGAACAGTGGGACATTTGTGGGGGCAGCGGAGACAATGGGGAGAGCGGGACAGTTCGTGGTGGGACAATGGTGGGGACAGTGGGGACAGTGAGACATTGGTGGGGGCACTGGTGGGTACAGCGGGGACAATGGTGGGAACAGTGGGGACACTGGGACGGTGGTGGGGACAGTGGGACAGTGGTGGGGACGATGGTGGTGGGGACAGTGGTGTGGGGACAGTGGGACAGTGGTGGGGACAGTGGGACAGTGGTGGGGACGGTGGTGGTGGGGACAGTGGTGAGGGCGGTGGTGAGGACGGTGGTGGGACAAAGGGACAGGGGTACAGTGGGGACAGTGTTGGGACAGTAGGGACAGTGGTGGGGACGGTGGGACAGCTCAGTAGGACAGCGGCGGGGGCAGTGGGACAGTGGGGGCAGTGGGGACAGTGGGACAGCGGTGGGGACCGTGGGGAAAGTGGGGAGTGGGACCGTGGTGGGAACAGGGGCGGGGACAGTGGGGACAGCGCGACAGTGGTGGGGGCACTGGTGGGGACACAGTGCGAACTGTGGTGGGAAAAGTGGAGGCAGTGGTGGTGGGGTCGGTGGTGCCGGACGGTGGTGGGGACCGGGGAGTCGTTTGCCGGCGGTGAGGGGCGGGGGTGTTCGAACCGGTAGTGACCCCCCCCCCAGTTTTCTGGGGGTTGGGGGTTCGATCCGGTAGTGACCCCCCCCGATTTTTCGGAGGGGGAGGGGTTGGGGGGGATTTCACAGGGGGAAGGGGGGGGAATTTCGAAGGGGGGGCGCCCCGGGTTTCGGAGGAATAGGGGTGGAATTTTCCGCAGTAAAGCGGCGCTGGATCACGCTCTCATCGTATCTGGCAAAGCCCGAAGACTTCGTCAGGATTTCTCAAGATTCACATGCGGTTCCTGGGAGCCCAGGCTGCCTTACGCCAGTGCAGGGAGGCCAGCCATGGGTGCCGGTTTCTCAGAAGCCATCGGCTTGCCGCGGTCGCTATTCCTTCGCAGAGCAACGTGGACAGGCCCTGAGGCTCGAAAGCCGAGTTAGAGGTGCCCATTGCGGGCGCCGAGTGTTTCATCACGCCAGCCAGCCGCAGACAGCGGTGGGATCGCTGTGCGCAGCAATGTGTGGGCAGGTCGCGGGTGCGGGTCATGGGTCGCGGGCGGGTCGCGGTTCGAGACGACGACAACAACAAAACACCATAATCCGCACCGCGGAGCCCAGGGACAGCGCAGGCGTAGGCCTCCTTGACTCCTTCTTGACCTACGTAGAAGATGCGAGGGAGGGACGAGCGAGGAGAAGGATGATTACCCGCAGGATGCCCTGGAACCCTCCGAGTACACCCAGACCCCTCTCCCCTCGTTCCTCCTGGAGAAGGATACGGCGGCGGCGTCGGCGGCGGTGGCGACGCGGTGACGGCGTCGGCGTCGGCGGCGGACGGCGGCGGCGCCGCTGGCCCTCAGGATGAGCTGCGTCGCTGGAGGGACGGGGCGCTCCGCGGGGACCCCTCGCTGGCGCCGGCGGGGCAAGGCGCCGAAAAAGTTGGTGGAGAGCTCAAGCACAAAATCGGCCCAAAACCCAGAATCCGCTCGGTCGACACCCGGAATCGGCTTCAACCGCGAACCCCAGAATTCGCCTCGAAACCCAGACTTCGCCCCGAAATCCGGAAACCCGCAGAAATGCGAACCCCGAAATTCCGACCGGTCAGTCCTCTTCTCTATTTTTTCCGCTCGCCCTCCGCTCTTCCTCTCCGCGGCCCCTCGGCGACGACGGACGATGACGGTCTAGACGTTTGGATTCCCGGAGGCGGAAGCATTGAAGAAGTTGGAGCGGCCGGATGTCTCAGATCTTCGAGGTTCGAGGTTCGAGGGGTTTTTGGAGGCCTCACGGATTCCAGGGTCTCTCTGGGTCCCTTCGAGTTTCTGTCAGCAGGCATCTCAGGATCGACGTCGTGACGAGATTGTGGCCAGAGGTTTTTGTTACTGTTGTCGCTCTCTGGTGGTCCTCGGCGGGCTCCTGTCAGAAAACGATTCAAGACGAACAGTTGGCTCTAATGAAAGGGTCGGGACTTCGGGGATCCCGCTGCCAGGTGCCGAGTAGAGTAGTCGTTTCGTTTCGCTCCCCGCCCGTTGTCGCGTGGTGTGTCGAGAAGAGCAGTTTCTTCTCGCCCCGTGGCGTTGCCGCTCCGCGCGCCCATCGGCCCGCGCAGGCCTGCCTTAGAATTGAGAACTCTGAGTGTGCCAGTGCGGCCGATCCGCGCGGGAGATTTCAAAATCAGGACATCGAGTGAAGCATGTTTGTCGTTCGCCCCCCAAGGCGTTGCCACGCCCCGAGTAGAATGTAATTAGTTTTCACCTCCAAGGCGTTGCCGCGTGGCGAATAGAGTGGAGGGTTCTTGTGAAGGCCTTACAGCCGATGCCGCCGACCCTGAAGACGACGACGACGACGTCGAGGAGGACAGGGAGGAGGACTGGGAGGGGGAGCAGGAGGAGGAGGCGGAGGACGCGGTGGAGCAGCAGGAGGGGGAGGAGGAGGATGCGGATGAGGATGAGTAGGGTGAGCAGGGTCAGGGGGAAGACGGGGAAGGAAGGAGCAGTAGGAGGACGAGGAGAATGGGAGCCAGATGAGCAGGAGAAGATGGAGGATGCGGAGGAGGGGGAGCAGGAAGGGCAGGAAGAGGAGGAGGATGGGAATGACGCGGTCGAGGTAAGGTTGAGGAGGGTCAGAAGAAGGGCACACGAAGGAGGGGGGATGAGCATGAGGAGGAGGAGGAGGAGGAGGAGGAGGAGGATCAGGAGGATCAGGAGGATGAGGGTGATGAGAAGGAGGATGCGAAGGACGAGAATGAGAAGAAGGAAAGGGTGAGGGACAGGAGGAAGAACAGGAGGAACAGGAGGAACAGGAGGAGGAGGACGCCGTGGAGCAAGAGGGGGAGGATGAGGAAGAGCACGCGGAGGAGGATGAGGAGGAGGAGTTGGGTCAGAAGGAGGTTGAGAAGGGCAGTGAGCAGGTGGAGGGCGAGCAAGAGGAGGAGGAGGAGGAGGAGGAGGAGGAGGAGGAGGAGGAGGAGGCGGAGGAGGAGGAGGAGGAGGAGGAGGGGCAGGAGGGTCAGGAGCAGGGGGCGCGGAGGGGGGATGCTTGTCGGAATCTCTTCGGAGCGCTTTCGGAGGCCTCCAGGGGCTCCATGGGGGGGGGGTCTTCTTGGGGGCGTCTTTGAGGCCTCTTGTTGCCTCCTGAGAGCTTCTTGGGGGCGAGGGCTCGAGATGTCCGTTCGGGTCCCCCGCCTGGGCATCCTCGTGGAGCCGTCTTGGGTGCCTCTTGGCCGAATTACCTTGGAGCCGTCTCGGGCCCTCTTGGGCCATGTTGGAAACCTCTTTGAGGAATTCGAGCCGTCTTGCGGCGATCTTGGGGGCCTCTGGGGCCGTCTTGGCCCGGCGGGCTCAGCTGACGGGGGGGAGGGCGGGAATGGGCGAGAACGCCAAATTCTTTCAAACACCGAAAGGAAATAAATTGAGTTTGCCTCTGGGGGCCTTCTTGGGAGTGCTCTTGGAGGCCTCTCGGGGCGTTTTGCGTGCCTCATGGGCCTCCAGGAGACCGTGAAGGCGTCTTGGACAGATCGTTCGGCGATGCGGGGCCCTCTTGGACCGTCTTGGGTGCCTCTTCAGGCACTCTTAATCCGTCCTGGAGCTTTATTGGGACCCTGGACCCCCTGGGAGGGATGCGTATCTGGGTAACGCCCCCCCCCCCCCCCTCCGGGGACCAAGGCGTATCTCCCAAAGGCCCCCCCCCCTGACGGGGGAGGGATCAAATGGAGGGGATTATTGGGGCTTTCCCCTGGGGCCGTGGCGTATCTCACCCGGGACCCCCCCAGAGACCCCGCCCCCCGCGGGGGAGGGATCAAAGGGAGAGGGCTTCTCTCCGATTGAAAGATGACGTTACTCAATATCGCTTTGGCTGGCGCGCTTGGGGAAGACGGCCCAGGAACAGGAGGGGAGTGGCGACAAGCCCAGGGAAATGGGGGCCGCAGGGAAAGGAGCCAGCAGAGTCGACGACGGACGAATGACGAAGAGGACGATTCGAACGGACAAGCACCTCACACACGCCGACAGGGTCGGCGGATGACGGGAAGCGTGGCGAAGTACGAGAAGCGAGCTGGACGTTGTGGCTGAATATGCAGCATATATAAGAATGTCTAATTGATAGAGGGTGGCGCGGTGCACAGGAGACAGGCTTAGCGGATGACGGGAAGCGTCTTCGAGGTACGAGAAGCGAGTTGGGCGTCGTGGCTGAATCTGCAACATATTAAGTTATCTCTTATATATAGTGGGTGGCTGGCTGCACGGGAGACAGGGTTAGCGGATCCCCCCGAACGGTTCACAATAATGAGATCTAATCGACATCGCGTTAAACAATTAGCTTGGCGAAGGACCCAACCCCGACGTTGTATGCACGGCATTCGGATGAGCTCCCTGTAGGACCACGAAACGTGTGAGGGGTGTGCCAAACATTGTCCGGTCGGCGCGTGCGAAAGCAGCCACTTGGGCCGTCGGTGGAATTCCTTATAGGGGCACGAAACGCGTGAGAGGTGTGCTGAAATAGGTGCGGTGGGCGCATGCGAACGCAGCCACTGGGGCCGTCGGTGGGGCTCCCTATGGGACCGCGAAACGTACGATGGGTGTGCCGAAATGGGTGCGGTGGGCGCATGCGAACGCAGCCACTGGCGCCTCCGTTGGAGCTCCCGAGAGGGTGCTCCCGAGAGGTGGGGCGCATCACACGAACATATGAGGGATGTGCAGAAATGGGTGTGGGTGACGCATGCGGGCGGTGGCACTGGCGCCTTCTGTGGAGCTCCCTTAGGGCCGCGAAACGCGTGAAGGGTGTGCCAGAATGGCCGTGGGTGACGTATGCGGGCGGTGGCACTGGGGCCTTCGTAGGAGCTCCCTGTGGGACTACGAAACTTGTGAGGGGTGTGACGACATGAGTGTGGGTGACGCATGTGGACGGTGGCACTGGGGCCTTCAGTGGAGCTCCCTATGGGGCCACGAAACGTGTGAGGGGTGTGCCGAAATGGGTGTGGGGGACGCATGTGGACGGTGGCACTGGGGCCTTCGTTGGAGCTCCTTGTGGGACCACGAATTGTGTGAGGGGTGTCCGTGACGCATGCGGGCAGAGGCGCTGGCGCTTTCTGTGGAGCTCCCTTAGGGCCACGAAACGCGTGAGGGATGTGCTAGAATGGCCGTGGGTGACTCATGCGGGCGGTGGCACCGGGGCCTTCGTTGGAGCTCCCTGTGGGACTACGAAACGTGTGAGGGATGTGACGACATGGGTGTGGGTGACGCATGTGGACGGTGGCACTGGGGCCTTCGGTGGGGCTCACTATGGGGCCACGAAACGTGTGAGGGGTGTGGGGGACGCGTGTGGACGGTGGCACTTGTCCCTTCGGTGGGGCTATTTATGGAGCCACGAGTCGTGTGAGGGGTGTACCGAAATTGATGTTGGGGAGGCATGTGGACGGTGGCGCGGGGGACTTCGGTGGAGCTCCCGATGGGGCCACGAATCGTGTGAGTGGTGTGCCGCAACGCATGTGGACGGTGGCTCCAGGGCATTCGGTGGAGCTCCCTTAGGGCCACGAAACGTGTGAGTGGTGTGCCGAAATGGGCGTGGGTGGCGCATGCGGACGGTAGCACTGGGGCCTTCGGTGGAGCTCTTTACGAAGCCACGAAATGTTGTATTGGGTGGGCGAAACGCAGGGAGGAGGGGAAGGAGGGAGGAGGGAGCAGGAAGGAGAATGCGGTGATTATCTCTTCAAAACGAGGACCCAACACCACAGGATGGTTGGGAAAAACAAGCGTTTCAGAGACATCCTCGAAAGCTGATCGGCGCGAAATTGATTTATCTGTAAAAAATGCGTTTGGCCTGAGATATCCTCACAAGCATGAGATGTCGACGGAGGTGTTGTACTGCCGCTTATGTAGAAACAATTCGTTTGACGGGAAGCATCTTCGAGGCACGAGAAGCGAGCTGGACGTTCTGGCTGAATATGCATCATATCTAATACAGTGTTTACTAATAGAGGGTGGCGGGGCGCACTGCATTTTTCGTTAGCGGATGACGGGAAGCGTCTTCGAGGTACGAAAAGCGATTTGGACGTTCAGGCTGAATCAGCATCATATCTAATATAGTTCTTACTAATATAGGTTGGGGGATCGCACGGTATCGAGGGCTAGCCGATGACGGGAAGCGTCTTCGAGGTATTCGAAGCGAGCTGGACGTTCTGGCTGAATCAGCATCATGTATAACAAAGCTCTTTTCATAGAGGGTGGCGGATCGCACGGCATCAAGGGCTAGCGGATTCCTCGGAGTGTCGGGAAGCGTCTTCGAGGTATTCGAAGGACGTTCTGGCTGAATCAGCATCATATCTAGTACAGTTCTTATTCATATAGGATGGCGGATCGCACGGGGG